CCATACGGCTCCGATCTCTAAGTCCCCGGCTGGTAGTGGTTAATAAACCTTTACGTTATTTAAAACAAGGACATGTATGCAAGACAAATGAAATAAAAGAAAAAATGTAATTTATGGTTGAGGAAGTCAACAAGACAATGGCAAAAAGGCCAACACTAATGGTCAACTGGATTTTTCCTGCATAAATTGTGTCACACAAAGAGATATTTCTATTCCTTTGTTTTGTTATGTTTAGTCTGACCCATTTTGGAGGGTACATGGCGGTGTTAAAATGTCAAATAATCACGAACATCCTGACGTGATAGTCAATGAGTCTGAACTGGATCTCTATACTGTTGTTTGTGGTAGAACAGTTACATGTACTGGTACATCCAAAAACCATACATGTTTATACATGTAATTCAAATGCACAAGGTGATTGTCAGGCCCATAAGTTCTCTTAACCAAAATCCTTCATGATTTGAATAATTCAGTTTTTAAATGTAGGCAATCAGTTCCTTGCAGGTTCCTCACTAACGATTATTATGGATTGAAGTATTTCCTAAGCTTTGGGCTAGAGTGAATTAACTCTGTCATGTCTGTATGAGGCCATTGAAAAAACATTTAATTGAGCACTTTTTTCCCATTGCACTCTTGTTCTATTAAATGGAACAGGGTTACAGTTTGGGAGACTGTTTAGGTCTTTCTTTTTAAACTGGTCTGAATGGGTAAATGGGGTAGGGGATTAAATAATTTATCGTGGGGTTGGGGGTTAATGGCCTCTATTTTCCATTAGTTTGAAACTGGCAAAGCCTTTGTAATATCAATCATTATTTCTTTTACACAATTTCCATTTGACATTGAGTCAAAGTGCAACCATATTCCAGTCAATCCATGTGTCACCGGGGCATTGCATTTGTGTTTGGATGTAGTTGGTACCCATAGGGGACAACAAACAACCATGCATAGTCCAACACGTAGCACCTTCACATGAAGACATGCTATGCTGGGCTGAACAACCTTCACAAGAGACAACTACTTATGGTCAAGGATTTATGAGCACTTTAGCAAGGAGTCAAAAAACCTTTTGCTGTAAAAGAATTTTGGACCATGCAATGTGGCTACAACAGATCTTCTTCTCATAGGAAAGTGTATATTTTCACCAGACGATGCATATTGTCACCCCTAATATCTTGAAATTGGACATGTGCCTTGCTTATACTGTTCACAAAAGGTATTTCCTGAATTTGGAAGAAATTTAAGGCTTGCAAAATCCTGAAATGGCCAGAGAATGTTTTGAGTAGTACAATGTACTATGACATACCTGTGCGGAGCCAGATTGAGCAGACTGTGTATTTGGTTGTATGATGTATGTCCCACTTCCTACTGATGCAGCTGTAACTGGGTGTACTTGTTGAGGTGATGCCTGAACCTAGACAACAAAATCAGCAACTCTCTGAAAAATCCTTGTTAACAAATCGGTGGTAAATCCATTGCTACACTTGAGTAATATGTTTATATTGTTTCTTTTCTCATTTAGATGATTTAAATGTGTTTCATTAATTTCCAGCTAAACAAAGTACTGTACACGTATGTACCGGTGGCTAATGCAAAAAATACTTTGACAGTGTCCATGCTTACATCATGCACATGTACATACATGTAAGTGCACAATTCAAACACAAGTAAAGCAACTTGGATCAGTGAGCTTGCATTCAAGCCATACATTGTACAAAAGACACAGTTACAGTTCATACTTGCTTTGGCATAAATGTTTTCCATTAAATGCAATGAAGTTATACGATTGATCACAAACTCTTTTGTATGGTTGGAGTGATGCAAATGCAGAATTTGTATGACTGAAAACTCTAAGCCCGCTGTTGCGAGCTATACATCATCATGCAAGTTATTGTAGTGAAACAGCAGGGTTACTGGGGTTCCCCCTTTATTTTGTTGTAACATTTTATCCCATGATGATTATTTGAATACGTAATGTCTATTTGTTTGGTGACCTGAGGCCATGTGAGAGACCATACACAGCAAGCCCAGCAAAGGGCATGTCTACATTGAAGGAAAAATTTAAGCGATGACACAATGGAAATCTCAACAAGCAAAACCATGCCAAGCAGTCGGCCAAATTTTCAATGACGTGAACTGGGCCTCTTGTTCCTCCATAACTCGATCAGCATATATTAATACCTTTGTACTGCATGGATAAACAGAGACAAAATTATTTCTAACATATATGGGAATTCTAGTGAACTGACAAAAAACTTGTGTAAATTTTGACTTGACTTTTTCAGCCACACACTATGCTACCAATGATACTACCCCCTGCACTGCACTGTTGAAGAACCCATTACGTCACCTACAAATTTGTAGTTTTCAACAATTTGTGCAATCAACAAGGAATTTTTGTGTTTTTATAATGCAGACAATAGATTTCTAATCTAATCTAAGAAAACAAGAGTTTGGTTTCTGGCCAATTTAAAAAAAAATGGAAACTAAAAAGTACATTTAATTAGATAGACATTAGATGTATGAGTTGATACAACTGCTGATTATGAAAAAACAAGTACGTGGAATCACCCATAGCGAATTATTTGCCGATTTTAGGGATTTTGTTATATTTCACAAAC